GTTCAAACCCACCGGGAACTCTTGGAATCCCTATACATGGTTGCCGAGTCAGAACCGACTTAATGACAGTTAACAACAATGAGAGAAGGTTTTCTAGCAGAGTACCTGGAGATTTGAGCTTCTCTGAGAAACAAAATATGCTTCCACCTTTCTTATAATGATTCTCATGCAAATGGCCATTCCTCTTTTCCCTTTGTTAACCTGAAATATGTGGTTCACCTGTATCAGCGGAATTGACCCTTTAATCTATTTGTCTATGATTCTCTCTTTCATGATGGGAATCGTTTGCTTTTGTTTGTAATCCCCCCACACTCCCCCTGTGCCTTACCCTTGTATTATTTATTCATCTAATACAACTTAGGAATGGAGTCCTGGTGTGGCACTGTAGGATAAGCACTAGACTGCTAACCTCAAGGTCAGCAGTTCAAGCCCACCAGTCACTCCTCAGAAATCCTAAACAGGGTGGCTCTGAGTCAGAACTGACTGGACAGCAGTAACAACAACCAACAGGAATAGGTGTGTTTCCCTGGACTTCCCCATTTAGTAGGCATATGACCTTGGTCAGGTTATTTAATCTCTCTGACCATTTAACTTCTCTGATTTACTCATCCATAAAATGGGAGTAAATAACTCTACCCACATCAGTGTGGCTCATGAGCACTATATGAGATAATATACACAAAAAGCAAGCAATAAATGGCAGCCTTATTCTCACTACTTTACTGTTATCCTACATGTTTTTGGTATGAGCTGCTTTAAATCTTTTGTGGACTATAGTGAACATAGGCTATAGAAGGAGTCCTGATGTGGCGCTGTAGAATAAGCACTGGAAGGCTAACCACAAGGTTGGCAGTTCAAACCCATCAGTCACTCCTCAAAAACCCTATATAGGATCTCTATGAGTTGAAACTGACAACAATAAAGATGGCGCTGTAGATTAATGCACTGGACTACAAAGCAGTTCAAGCTTACCAGCTGCTCCTCGAAAACCCTATACAGGGTCTCTATAAGTTGGAACCAACTCAACGGTACTTAACAACAAGAAGAATATTAGAAAAAAATCAACCGTATTCCAGTATTTTTCTTCTGAAGAACGGGTCTGATCAGAATATGCTAAGAACAAGCCTTCCTGTTTACTAAGTCACACCGTATGTGCCAGGCATTGAATCTGCTGCCTCACTGCTTTGCCTCATTCTCACAGTACCCTCAAGATGTAGATGTTAGGATTATACCCACTGTACAGATCTCAGAACTAGTAAGTAGCAGAGCCAGAATTCAGATGCAGCTGGTGCTGTGTACACATACATACGTTAACCACTGCCAGCTGCTGGCCTCCCTCCCACCGTGGGATGCCTCAGATAATGAGGAACTTCTTGCATGTTGCCTCTTGGGCTAGATCAGCTACTTGTCACTTCTCTTCCTTAGCCTTAAAAACATACTATGTCAAGTGAGGATATTTGATTAGACCAGTGGTTTCGAAACTGGTCATTAACAACAGTTGAAATCCCATTCGAATTATTGGCAGATAAAACACATGAATGTAGACCTGCTCTGATGTGAGAGAGAGAGTGTATGTGCAGGTGGGTGGGAGACACCTAGTCCTGCTAATGAGACACTTTCCCTTGTTCTCTCTACAGCGGGACGCTTCAAGCAGATCACTCCAATGACCCCCAGCCCCAGTGTTTGAAGGAACTTTGATCCATACCAAACCAGAGTAGAGAACATCTCTTCAGTCCTTTGGCTAGGTCCTGGATTTATATAAATGAGTACATGGGTCACTAGTGCTAGTTGAGCTCTGGGCATACCCTGGACCCACATCGTCCATCTACAAAATGGAGTGAGGGTTGGTCTGGATGATCACGCAGTCCTTTCTACCTTGAAAAAGATGAGGATAGAGTCACAAGTCTGAATTGCTGGGAATAAGTAGGACATAGGAAGGGATGTGAGGCGTCTAGAAGCCATCTTTGCTCCATGGGCTCTGCACAACTGTCTATCCTGGGGCCTGACAGAACTTTAGAGACTGGTCAGTTATACAGAGGGGATGAGGGGCTTAGAGAGACACCCAGAGGACCTGCCCTTGGATCACTCCTAGGAGAGAGCTCTATAGTCACAGTATAGAAATAGAGAGAAGAAAAGCAGAGCTCCTGCTTTCTGGCATCCCCTGTATGACCTCCCTCACACCCATCTCATATTCTTCCCTTTGGAGACTGCAGAGAAATGGTCAGAGCCATGGGAGAATCCTGAGCTATTATTCTGTCCTGCCCAATCACTATACACTTGTCCCAACCTCCCTTCACTACCTGAGAGCTCCTTGAGGCAGGGCTTGTGGGATTCACCCCTCTGTTCTTCTGAGAAAATGCTCATGCAATGCTCCAGAGACAGGGAGCCATATAGAGGAGAGATCATCGAACCTGTCAGAGCTAGCAGATCGTGTCAGATCAATAGCCCACTGTACAGATAAGGAGATGGAGGCCAAAGATCTTATCTCCTGAGTAACTCTTTAAAAACAGAATTTACTTCGAGGAGGGTATTTGGGAGGCCCCTGAGCCCAGATCCTGGGGAATTATACTCAGAGTGTTCTTTTTAAATAGCCCAGCCTTTCTTTTGCCTTTGCGTATTCCCTTTTCTAGCTGAAGATACCTGTCCCAGGTATGGAGACCTGGACTTTCTGCCAATTGGGCCCTTTCTCCTGGTTCATCCACTTCCCAGTCAGTGACCCAGGTGGGCCAGGTAAGCCGGTGTTACTGAAAGCATGCCAGGCCTAGGCAGCCTCAAGGAGGTGGAGGAACAATTCCTCCCACATCAATATTTATTGCCTGAGCGTTGTTGGAAGCAGATCATCATGTTCTCAGCCTTCAGTTCTTTTTAAAGAACTTCTCACCCCCTTCCCTCCCTACTCCCCATCCCCAATGTGTTGACAGAATGAATCCAGACAGCCAGACAGGTTCACAGTTGGGGAGCCAGGGCTTCAAGGCATCACAGAAGCATAGTTCTTAAAATCAGAATCCCTGAAACAAATAACAGCTTTGACTCAAGGAACCATGCCTTCTCAGAAACTGAGGTGCAGAGTATTGCTCCAGGAATCTAACCTCAGCATCTTGCATGGTGGAACAGAATGGGGAAGTGACTTTCACAAGGTCACACAGTGGACATGTGAGTAAGGCCAGCATACACCAGCCTCCCCTCCAGCTTTGCATCTTTCACCTATTCAAAAGTCAAGATCACTTGATTGTCCCGCTGGCTGTTCCTCTCTCTCTTCAAATTTAGGGCTTGAAGATTAGTAAACAGCAACACAGACTTTCTGTTTCTAGATCACTTCACTTACAAAATCTCTTCCTCAAGTTCCAGGAATTCCATGTCAGCCAAACTTTGGCCTGAGTTAGGCAGAACTGGGAAGGACCAAACTCAAGGTTTCGTCCCCTGCAACTGACTTATCTCCAGCACCTGCTGCACTCATTCTCAGCATCAGTCCAGTCCTTCACTGTCTCTGGGACATCCCAGAGCAGAATTCTGTGCAGCTACCTTCCTGGAGAGCTCCTGGATCTATCCCTATCCCCCGCCTCACTACTAATGCAGTGGTCCGGCCGCTGGCAGCTCCTGTCTAGACCATTGTAAAGACCCTATCCTCCTCTCTTCACACACTGCTCTTGTCCTTCATTATCCAGTGATTGAGCCATGGGCCCCCCTACCTACTCTCCTTCCAGGACTACACTCTGCTCTTCAACCTGAAAGTTAAGGCCTTTCCTGTTCTAGCTTCCCCTGGCTGTTCCAGTATCATTTTTCTTTGATTTCCTTTCCCACGTACACATCCTCTGCCCCAGCCAGGTGAGGTTTGGTAGGGCAAGACAGGTCTAGGAATCAGACAGACTTGAACTCAAATCCCAGTTTTTTCTAGACAGACCTGATTTATCCCTTTCTAGGCTCAAACATATTCCACAGAATAGCAAACATACTTGAATGCACCAACTTGATACAATGAGTCGAGTTTTTCTTGCTGCAAAATACTCATTGGGACTCTTATCAATTGTCCCTTTGAGGTAGAAATTACTTGGCAACAATTAACTTCCTCAATTTATGATTATCTGTTATTTCTCAATAATCACCCTCCATACTTGGTCAATAATCACCACCCATACTTGGGAACAGAGAAAATCTAATCTGCAAATTTCCAAATTATAATGAAAGGTGTGTGAATGTTAGCTGAAAAGTAATAAAGTTGACATAAATGAAATAAAAAGTTTTGCTGTCTACTTATGTAGTTTGGAGCCAACTTATTGTTTTTCAAGTCTTATGTTTTTGTGGATCCCTGGAAACTTGGAGGCCCCTTATCCTGCTCACTAGCTCAGCTATCTTCCCTTCTCTTACTAACTATAATAAGCAAATCTCCTTACCTGGCTGAGCCTCAGGGTCTTCTGAGGAGGGGACCACCTACCCCAAAAGGTAAGCAGGGGGATTCAATGAGATCTCCTGAGAACATCATACCAGATGGTTGTTACTTGTCCATGAATCTATGTCCTCATTAATCTGAGCCTCTTTAAGTGTACAGACTACATCTGATCTTTGTGTCCAGCCTGGGCCCTGGTCCAGAGAGACACTCAAATACATGCTGGTCCTCTGCTTTGTCTCCAAAATAGCCAGGTTCATTTCAACAGCCAATCCAAGTCTAGAATGCCCCTCCTCCTCCTTTTTGAATTTCCACACATCCTCCAAAGAGCATATCAAATCCTTCCTTTCAGGGAAGCCTCCTAGAACTTCTGCTCATCCTCTGCATCCTCTCAGTTCTTAACATCCCTAGAACACTTTAAGTCCCTTCCACTCTCTGGTCCTTAACATCCTCACTGAAAGGGGACAGGTAATGCTCACCTTGCAGGCCTTCATGAGTGTGGTAAGACGTGAAGTCCAGTGTCCAGAAGAGATATAAACTATGGTTACAGGAGAAGACAAGTAGGGGGAAGCTGGGGCCCCAACTAGGGCAGAGGGAGTGGTTGGTGGGGACTTACTTTGCTGGCAGATGAGGCTATAATTGACCAGATCCTTGTGTGGAAGCAAATCTCATGCTTCTCCTTGGGCATCTCCCTGGGGAAGAAGAAGTAGGGGATGGCAGCCAGTGCCACAGTGCCAGCGGAGATAAGGAAACCCAGCCACCAAGCACCCACCCATCGGGGGTCTTTTGAAGTCAGACTGATGCCACCTAGAAGAGAAACAACAATGACATTAGGTCAGGATGGGCCCTCACTTGTAGGCCACCACTGAAGAGCTGGCCTCTGAGATGTGAGTCAGACTGGAGCAGCAGAGAGAGGCTTAAACTGGGAGTCAGGAGAGCTGGGTTCTGACCTTGACTCTACAAGTTATGGCTTGTGTGACCTTAGGCAAGTCCCTGGCTCTTTCTGCACTTCAGACATTGCAGTATAGTGGCCATGGTCATGGACTTTAGAAATGAATTGTTAAGCCTGAATCCCAATACTAGCTGCATCACCTAGGGCAAGTTACTTAACCTCTTTTTGTCTCTGTTTCTACCTTCGTATCATATGGATACTAATAGTACCTACGTCATAGGATTGTTCTGGGAATTATAGGAACATGTGAAACACTTAGAATAGTGCCTGGCACATACTACTGCTAAACAGATATTCACTTTTCTTATTTTTATTAAGAGCAATGCTATTGTGTTTGTTGGTGTTAAATATATAATTGAAACTACTCTTGCAGTTCTTAGACTTGCATGATGATTGAAATCGCCTTGCATGCTTGTCCAAAATGCTAGATCTTGCCTAAAACCTACTTAGAATTTCCATAGGATGGGGTGGGAAGGTAGCTAAGGAATCTGGATCTTTGATAAGCTCCCCAGGTGGTTTTGATCCCCCTCCAGGTGTAGCTAAAACTAGATTATCCTAGATAATTCCAGTCTCCTTACTAGAATGTAGAGATTTTCCCATCAAGCCTCTTAGACCCCAAGGCATCATTCTCCTTCAATCTCTACAGTATCTGGGAAGGCTTTAAAAATACCAGTGCACCCTAAAACTGACCCCCTACCTCACCCCACCCCATGCTTGATTCTGCACTCCTCCTGGATCAAGAAGCCCATGCACACAGTCATCAAGTGTGTTTATCAAGCTGGGAGTAGACTGACCTTAGCACTGATTGGACTTGGTTTCTGCCTCCACTTAGTGTTCCTCCTGCACCTATGCCAGCCCAATGAGAGTTCATACATGCCCATCCTCAATTCCTCTGCTTCTCACATATTCCTCTGTGCCTACAGAGGATCCTCCTACCCTGTGAAATCCCCCACAGAAAAAGAACTAGGGAGGTGGCACTTCAGTCCACATTTGCCAAGATGATGTCAAGTCATGTCCCCTCCCCTAGAACTGGGTGTGTGTTGAAGGAACCTTGATTCCCTGGATCTTCTGTCAATAGAGAGTTACAGCCTGAGCCCAGATGTAGCTTCTGTGCCCAGCTTGCTAGAAGGAAGCGGGCTGGGTGGGGCTGTCCATCCTGACTCTACTTCAAAGCTGCCTACACCTGTTGTGAATGGAGAGACATCGTAACAAAAGCATCCACGTGTCCATCTAGCAGTATGCATGTTACCTGCATGTTACCCTGAGAATTTTAGGACCTATGGGAAAATCTCCAGATGAGAGGTGAGACTTCTGAGTAGCAGAAGGTTCTGAGCAAGAATGTTCAAACATGAGTTTCTAGTCCACTCCACAACCACCCAGAGCTCCTCGCCTGCCTTCAGGACAATCTTCAGTCCCACTCCTTGGCCCACACTAACCACAACCTGGACCAGAGACCCCTGGACCCCAGATTATGTGTCCAGCAGTTTCTTGAACTCTGAGGTGGTCAGAACTAGAGGAGCCCTTAGAGGTCATCTGGTAGAGTTCAATGCCACACATTGAGTCATAGAGTTCTGTTCAAAAAGTCATCTCCACTCTGCTGTCATCCTTTCTGCTTTACCTCTGAGTCTTGTTTCCTTGTAAAGTTGGTTATTGTTACATGCCATCAAGTCGGTTCCAACTCATAGTGTCCCTGTATAGGGTTTCTGAGGAGCAGCTGGTGAATTAACCATCGACTTTGCGGTTCAAACCAACCTTGTGGTCCAGTGCACTAACCTGCAGCACCACACCAGGACGTCCTACAAACTAAGAGAGAGTGTTTGTATTCTCCATAGTATATCTGAGCGTGAGGCTGGGGGGCCTGAGGAAACAAGGTATGGACTAAGGTGAAGACTCATGATGCTGGTAGCAGAAAGCACAATTCCTCCTCTAATGGTACTTTACAGTTCATTTCCATCATCTCTTTGAATTTTGACTACAGCTCTAGGAGACAGACAAGACAGAGGTCACTGACCTTGTCTCAAAGATGAGAAAACCAAGGCTCAAAGGGGCTGGGAGGCTTCTCCCAGGCCAAGTCCCCCAACTGAGTATCTTCTACAAGATCAGCAATCAGTCTGGGCTGGCCTTGAGTGAGGAGGAGGAAGCTCACCTTCTGGCATCCGGTCAATGTCCACATACAGGCGCAGCATGAGGCCACCCAGCCCATAGGCCAGGCCTGGTCCCAACATGGTCACTGCAAACAGGATCCCTGCAACACAAAGCCCAGGTTAGGCCCTGTCGTCTTGATTTCCCTCAACAGCTAGTGGACAGGAGTAGCCTGTTTCCCCTGGTCAGGACTTATTCAAGCTTTTATTGGGCCGATGGGGCAGAGGTTAGGGATTCAGTCATGTCCAATCCCTACCTGTGATCCCTTTCACCCGAGCTGGGCCTGGCCCTCAGAGCCTGGAGGGGTGGGACTAGCACTCACCAAGGTAGAGTGGTGAGTTGCTGTTGTGGGCAAAGTCATCGATGTAGGAGATGCCAAAAGGTTGAATAGGCACAGCACCCACCCCGAGCAGAGTCTGTGCCATGAACATTATCCCCACCACTGTCAGATGCTGTGCCTCTGCGTAGCTGGAGCAGGTACCATTGACGGAGGCCGGTGCTGGGTTTGAGGTCATGGGGAGGCACAGGGAAGCCTCAGAGTCCTGTGGTAGATCCTCTAAGGTGACAACAGAAAATGATATGACAATAAGCCAGTTGTCATCAAGTGGATTCCTACTCATGGTGAACCTATGCATGTCAGAGTAGAGCTGTGCTCCATAGGTTTTCAGTAACTGTCATCTTTCCTTAGTAGACTACAAGGTCTTTCTTCTAAGGTGCCTCTGGGTGGATTCAAACTGCCAGGTTTTCCATTAGTAACTGGGTGCTTAACCATTTGTGCCACCCAGGGACCTCTGGGTGACAATAGCTGATGTTCACATAGCACTTGATGATGCAAAGTACTGTTACAAGTCTTTTGTATATAAATTACTGAACCCCTCACTAAAAATCTAGGGGCTAGGTGTGCTCATTACCCCATTTCACAGATGAGAAAAGTGATGCTCAGACAGCAACTGGCAAGGGACAGAGCCAGGATTGAACCCTGGCATTCTGGTCTCAGAGTACATGCTCTTTAACCCTATATCCCCTTCTGAGCAGAGGTATGTGGAAGCACTTTTGGGGTGGGGTAGGATGCTCAAAGTAGGTAGAGTTTGAACTGGATCTGGAAGAGCAAACAAGATTTTCCTGAGAGTGAAGAGAAAAGGGAGAGACCACAGCATATAACCAGTGGTTTGAAAGCCATTATGTTGGCAGAATAGGCAGGATGGCTGGGTCAGAGTGTGAAGGGCAAGGCCAGGACTGAAGGCAGGATTAAGCAGGAGAAGGAAGCTAGGGCTGAGGTGTGGAGGGTTCTGGTGACGTTTGAGTTCATTGTGGGATTTGGTGTCAGCTCAGGACATAGCTTCAGAGTGCAGTAAATTTGAACTTCTTAATTTAGTACAAGATATTTGTTCCCTGCAGCTCACCAATATTTGGTGTGCAAACTTGAGGAGACACACTATTATTATCCATAATGCGGATGTAGAAGTAGCGTTCTGTCTATAGCCTGCCAAGCCCTTTCCAGGAGCCAGGGCTTTGAGCTGTGTTCACCCAGTCTGAAGAGCAACCTTAGGATTGGAATGTTCCATGTGAACCAAGGTCAAGAAATTTGAACGCAAGTCTTCAACAGAGGCTGCCATGTGACGTTGACAGAGGCCCTTACCCTCTCTGAGCTCTAATTTCTTATCTCTCAAACAAGTCTTCTAGAATGGAAGTTCTACGGAGAAGGAATTTAGAAACAGAACAGGGGCTTCAGGACAAGCTACCTGGATGTGCCATAATTCTACTGGCTGTGGGCCTTGGGAAAGTTCCTCTCGTCTCTGAGCCTTGGTTTCTTCATTTACAAAATAGGCTAAACAATAACATCTACCTCTCAGGGTTGTGAAGATTAAGTGGTGAAGATTAAGTACCTAGCACATGGTAGAACTATTACATAAATTATATAAATATTGGATAAAGAATAGATGCATGAAGTAGCCTGGAATGTCAGAATAGAACAGGTTCTGGGAGCTCACTGAGTGTGTTCATTCACTGAGCAGAGGTGAAGACTGAGGCTCAGTCAGGAGCAGGTCTTCACAGGAAGCCTAGGGTGGAGCAGGGCAATGAGGATGAAGAAGAATGTATATGACCCCACACAGAAATAGCTTCTTTGTAGTAAAAATTCTGGACAAATGAAAGTGAGGAATGTTATCGCTCAGCATGCCAATTAGTCCTCTTGATAACTGTCATCTCAAGCTTAGATAAACTACTCTGCATTCCTTAGGTACATTCTACACTTTCCCACTCTCTGCTTTGGCCCATGTGGCTCAGCCACCTGAAATGGAAGTTCAAATGTCACCTCCTCCAGTTACCTCCAGCTGTAAATGTCCTCCCTGTACTCAGGGCTCAAATGACTCCCTCTGGCCACCTCCTAAGGTGCTGGACTCTATGCCTTGTAGCAGAGGTGTCTAAGCTTACTCCAACCCTGCATTCCACTGGGAGTTACTGGGACTGGTCGTCTCTCCACTGGCACAGATTGGGAGGCCCAGAGGTGTGAGCCATGGGAGGACAAGAGAGGACAAATGTTCTTTGACAGCCTCCTCTTCTGGGAAATCCCTGCTGCTAGACTGGAAAATGGAGTCCTGATGTAGCACTATAGGGTAAGCACTGGACTGCTAACCACAAAGTCAGTGGTTCAAACCCACCAGTCGCTCCTGGGAAACACTATACAGGATTGATATGAATGAGAACCAACACAAGGGCACTTAACAACAACAGACTGAGATCTGGGCTATAGCCCTTAGGTTTCCCTCCTCACACAGATTACACACTGTGGGGCCATTGTTTGTCTGTCTCTCCTCCCCCTCTTCTCACTTCAGACTCAGAGTTCCCTGGAGTCAAGGACTGAGTCCCCTGTGAGAGCCTGGCACAAAGTAGCCATCACTAAGGGTTTTGGGGTAAGCCACAAAATGGATGGATGGATGGATGGATGGATGGATGGATGGATGGATGGATAATCGATTAGATGAGTAAGTGGATAAATGGTTGGGTGATTGGGTGAGTGGATGAACAGATGGATAGGTGAATAGGAGAGGATGAATACTCAGGTCTTGGTTCATTTTATAAGGGACAGGCACTCATCTGTCAAGTAGCCCCTCAACAAAATCCCAGAGCTGAACGGGGCTTTACTGTTCTTGTTAAAAATTCTTCCATGTTTTCATTAATCTGTTCATTAATTCACTGATGTTTTAGCTTCTTGCAAGGATTAAATGTACTAATGTTTGTAAAGTGCTGACAATAGTGTCTGGTGCATTGTAAGTATTATTTTTCCACAATGATTTCCTAATTTAGGGCATGTCAAGCCCTAAATTAAGATGTATTGTAAATTTACCTACATTGCAACCACCCCCCCACAAGAACATACAAGCAGACTGTCACCAAGAGAGACTAGGGGGTCTCACCACTCCTCTCTGGGATCCACTGTGCCCTATATCCAATACCTGGGACTCAGAGAGGCAGTGGGGCTGGGGCTGGGGAATGGTAGGCGCCCTGGCCGATCCTGATGATGATGGTGTGGAGAAGGCCCTGGTGCACAAAATGCAATTCCTCATTTCCATCTTCAACACGTCTCACTCTTACCATGGCTGGTGTGGTCGTAGCGGTAAGGCTCTGAGATGAAATGTGGGAGGCTCATGAGCAGGCCTGCCAGGGCCACAAGGACAGCCCCACAGCCAATCAGTCGAGGTCGGTGTGCCCGACTGCCAAAATAGCTCACAAACACAATCAGAGCTGTGTTTCCCACCTGCAAAAGGGCAAGGAGACCCATTATATTTGAGCCTGGTGGGAGAGGTCCCATCCTTATTGCTGTTGCCAACCTCGGTTTTCCCCATCAGTGTAGTGGATTCGCTGGCCAAATAACAATCATCTAGGTCCTTCTGGGGCAGTGGTGTGGTGCTGTAGGATCAGCACTGGACTGCTAACTGCATTAAGTACAAAGTCAGCAGTTCAAGCCCACCAGCCACTCTAGAAAACCCTATGGTGGTGGTTAAGTGCCGTGGAGTCGGTTCTGACTCATAGCAACCCTATACAGGGTTTCTGAGGCTGTAAATCTTTACACAGGGTGGCTATGAGTCAGAACTGACTTGATGGCATACAGCAACAAGTTCTTCTTAAGAACCCTGGTATTGCAGTAGTTAAACATTTGACTGCTAATCGAAAAGTTCACCCACTCTGTGGTAGGAGGATGAGGTAGTCTATGGAGCAGTTCTACTCTGGTTTACAAAGATGTTGTAAGTCAGAATCGACTCAATGGTGGTGGGTTTGGTTTTTTATTTTGGTCCTTCTTATGCATACAGATTCTGGATTCTCCTAGGAAGGGTCCTACTGCCCCATTGTTGTTGTTAAGTGCCATGAAGTCAATTCCAACTCAGCGCCCCCCTTACAGGGTTTCCAAGGAGTGGCTGGTGGGTTTGAGCAGCCAACCTTTTGGTTAGCAGTCCAGTGCTTGTCCAACAGTGTAGGACTCCCCATTAGGGAAGAAAAATAAGGACAAAGAGGGCAGGGACAGAGGTTCAAATTCATTTTGGAATACGGTTTGTGCCCTATGTGAGAATATGGAGAAGGCAGTCAAGGAAAGGGGTTTTGAGTTTCTGAGAAGTCATGGATGAGAGAAACTCATAAGGAAAGTGTAAAACCAGAAGATTAAGCCTTGAAATTTTGTACCCTAGAACCAAAATTCCAAACTGTGGGTGCAGGAGGCAACTTGGGGATTTGCAAGGGTGGGGCAGGATCTGCAGTCAGAAGCCTGGCTTTCAGTCCTGACTCCACAGCTGGCTGACTGGTGACCACGGGTGAGATACTCACCCTTGAGCCCCAGGCTCCTCACTGGGTAAGTGGGGTGCTATCAGCAGGATTGACTCTGAGAAGTACAATCACATCCATTTTATAGATGGGACACTGAGGCTCAGAGATGGGGAGTGACTTTTCCAGGGTTCCAGAATATGAGATCTGGAGGTGGAGTGATGAAGGATATTTGGGGACACTGGGTAGCAGGCAGGACTGGGTTGGGAGGAATGTGAGACGTTACCCAAGAGGGAGAGGGGACCTCCCAGAAATCTGCTGGAGTGTAGAAAGAAGAAAATGTTCTCTGAACAGCTGCCTACTCTGAGAGTGAAAGCAGCTGCTGGGGGAGGGAGTGGGCCACAGCTGGACTCTGATCTCCAAATTCACCCAGAGCAGTTCTTCCCCTCCTAGATGGAGGTTGGCCCTAGGATCCCCAGGCAACTTTGAGGACTGACTGACATTCTAGGCCATGGAATCATTCCTGCCTCCATCACCCTCCTCCAGGTTTGAAAGTTCTTCCTTTGACCTAATTTGAACCTTTTCCTGCTACTGTTGAAGTGGTTTCTTCTAACTCTTTCCAAGACAAACAATAGCTAGGTACCTAGAAGAGTAAAGGAACCAGAGGGAGAGAGGGTAGACATGGGACCCAACTATCAAATACTCCCTGTCTCCCATTTAGAGTGCTCCCAAGGGAAGGATGGCTAGGTCTTTAGCAAACTTGGGCAGATAGTGAATTCCACTGGACCTCTATTTTAAGCATGTAGTGGGTCAGTGTCTAGGCCAGGAAGTTTTGGAAAGGACAATCTAAAGGGAGTTTCGGGAGGGACCTGTGGTAGGAGTTGCCTGAAGGCTCTGGGAGAGAAAGAAAGAAGGGAGAATTGAGGTACAGATTGGCCAGGGTAAGTACCTCGTTGAAGGCGACTAACAGTCCCGAAGTCTGGCTGGAGAGGCCGAAACGCTTCTCCACGGTGGAGATGGAACTCTTGAGGTAGCCGGAGATCATGAGTTGTGCCAGCTGCAGCAGGCTGTGGCACAGGACAAAGAACTGCCAGGGTGGCCGGAAAGATGGTAGTGGGCAAGGAGGCAGAGAAAGAATACAGGGGAGACACAGCAGAGGTGGGTGGAGGAACCATCAGTGGAGGAGGAGACGGGGAGAGAGGTGGAGTAGAGGAGAGAGGGAGAGTGAGGTCAGGAGAGGGACAAAGACAGAGAGATGAGGAACCAGAGTTAGGAGACATGCACAGGAGAAGAGAAAAGTTAGGGAGGGTGAGTCAAGAATAAGAGAAGAGAGACACAGAGAGGAGTGGGGAAAAGTGAATTAGTGAAGTAGCCAAGGCTTCTCGTACAGACCCCAAAACTTCAGGAATCTAGGGGCTGAGAGTAGGGCTTTCATAGGGCCAGGAATGGTGGAACCCTCTCTAACCCTCAGAGCTCCTCTATGAGCTAGACGGAACCTTTCACTCTGCTTCTACCACCCTACTCTCTCCAAGAAGCCAGTTCACCCAGATTCACCCAGATCCTTTTCCCCAACACTCTCACCTGGATCTCCCCTATAAATTCCCTGTGAGAAGGCCTGTATACACCAAATCCCCATTTTATCCTTCCTACTCTGCCTTGCCCCACCCACCCCCACCTCCCCAAATATGCCAGCCTGGCTTCTCCAGGAAAATCTGGTAGGGTTCCTAAGAGAAGAAAATCCTTCTTCAAATACTTTAAAAAGAATATCCAAGCCAGAGCTTCATAGCATTCAGTCTTTTCTTCTGAGTCTTGGTTTCTTCATCTGTACAATGAGAACATGTCCAGGGCTGTGGGAACTAAATAAGATCATGCAGGAACAGCCCATGACAGGGTCAGGCATCCAGTAGGTGCTCAGTGGGAGTTCAAATGCTTGGGGCCACCTAGAACTCCTCGGTATTCATGCAGGTTCAAGACCTCTGGATCCTTGTTATGCCTCTATGGAAATCAGGGGACTTGAACCTCACTATCCACAGAAGGAAAAGTTACTGGACACCTTCCATGTGTCCAAAACCAAGCTAAAGGTGCTTGTACACCGTTCCTCTGATCCTCATAACTGCCTATTATACAGGTGAAGAAATTGAGGCAACAACTGGCTTTGCGTTTTACAGCAGTATATGGCGGAGCTTTCTCAGCTGGGTTTTATGCCCAATGCCTCTGGCAGGCCCCGAGAGTTACCTTGATGCTGTGGAACACACTTGACTGCAGGTCCTGAGGGTCTGGGCTGGCTTTGCCTCCAGGTGTGTCCTCTGTGTCGGTTGTGATTTTGATGTCCTTGTCTGACACCTGGGGTCCCTCACCTGCTGGCCCTGTGGGATAGACAGTGAGGGAGTGAGAGTGGAGGTGACATCCCAAAAAATGTCCTGCCCCAGGTAGCTCCAGACTAAGGTGCTTTAGGAGAAACAAACCTCAGTGGTTACCAAGAAACTGAGACTTGAAGCACCTCTGCCCTTCTGATTCCTGGGTTTTGGTGCTGCAAGGAGCTTTCCTAAGAAGGTGTGTGCTTCACCTGATCATACCTATTACGGGTTACACAGTCACTCCATCCCAAACATACACTTTTCTTCTAGAAAGAAGCTGTGAAGCTCCCCCAGCACACCAACCTGCAAGCAACAAAGTACCTCAGCAGCAGTGATGAATGAACTCCTTCGGCACCCCCTTGGGTCTAGAAGTGGAGATAACTTTTGTTCTTTTGCTTTTTAAAATGTATTGTGAAGGTTTACAGAGTAGATCATCAATTTTACATTTGACAGTTCATACACATTTTATTTCATCTCATTGATTGCAACCCTTTCAACATAACATCACCTTTTCCCAGGAAACAATGTTGGTGATCAGTACAAAAAGGGTTCTCAGGGATCTCCTCATTTCACCCTCTCCAGGATAAAGTGCAGACCTAGGACTCAGGAGGCAGGACCATGGTTAGAACCTGGACCCTTGGCCCTCATTAGACATGTTGTTTCTCTTCCATCATAAGCATGCCAGTATCCTTCTTAGTTAGGTGAAATGGAAACAGAACCCCTTCAGAGGCACCTCCCAGGATTTCCTAATCTTTAATCTCAATGGGGAGCTCAGAAATCTGGATTTGGGAGAGTCCACTCCTTCATTTAGATGGAAATCACTGGCCTCTTTAAGCAGTCCAAGTCTCCTTGACCTTCCTCTCTCTCTGAGGCCCTACTTCCTGTCAGAATCCTCTGCCATTGTTTCAAATCCCTCTCAACTCTGTCAGGAGTTTCCCCTCATTCAACAAACTTCTTCTGGGACCTGAGGTGGTCCGGGGACACTCCTGAGGTCATTACTCTTCTCATTCCAGCTCCAGACTTGTTCCTCATTTGGGATCCCTGGGAGTCTGGGGAATTCATTGTTTAAATTGAGATTTAATTCACATACTACAAAATCCACCCTTTAAATGTGTACAATGCAGTGGGTTTTAGTTCATTTACAAAATGTACAACCATCAGCATTATTTAGTTCCCTCCAGAACATTTCCTCACCCTAATGAAAAACCTCATACCTTAGTAGTCTTCCCCAGTCCACAAGCCCCAACCTCTGGCAATCAGTAAATTACTTTCTGTGTCTAAAAAGTTGCTATTTCTGAAAATTTCATATAAATGAAACCATACAATTATGTAACATTTCTGTGACTGATTTCTTTCACTTAGTATAATGTTTTCAAGGTTCATCCATGTTGTAGCATGCATCAGTACTCCATTCTTTTTCCATGTTTGAATAATACTCCATTTTTCAAAATACTACATTTTGTTTATCTATTCATCGGTTGCTAAACATTTGGGTTGTTTTCACTTTTTGTCTACTGTGAATAATACTGCTATGGACATTTGTGCACAAGCTTTTGTTTGGACATGTTTTTAGTTTTTTTGGAAGATAACTAGGAGTGGAATTGCTGGGTCAAAGTCCTGGTATGGCACTGTAGGATAAGCACTCTACTACAAGGTTGGTTTGAACTGCAAGGTCAGCAGTTCAAACTCACCAGCCGCTACTCAGAAACCTTATAGAGGGTCACTGTGTGTCGGAACAAACTCGATGGCACTTAACAACAACGACAACATGGTAGCTCTGTCTTTATATTTTGGAGACACCACCAACCTGTTTTCTCCAGTGGCTGCACCATTTTACTTTCCTACCAGCAATGTATGAGGGTTACAATTTTTTCACATCCTCAACAACACTTGCTATGATCTGACTTGTAAAATATGGACATCATGGTGAATATGAGAAATCCCTGGGTGCGGAAACTATTAACATGCTCAGCTGGTAACCTAAACATGGAGGATTTGATTCCACTCAGAGGCCCCTTGAAGGAAAGACCTGGGGATGTCAATCAGCCACTAAAAAAACCAATGAAGCACAGCTCTACTCCAACAAACATGGGGTCGCCATGAATTGAAGACAGCAACAGTTAGAGGGTGTGAAGTGGTAGCTTCCCAGTTAGAGGGTGTGAAATTGTTTCCATTTTCCTGATGCAAACTAATGGCACAAAGCCTCTTTTTCATGTGCGTATTGGTCATATCTTCTTTGGAAAAATGTCTCTTCAGATAACCTGAGGAATTTGAGGAAATGGCAGTGCATATTGTTGGGGAGGAGTCCTTTTCAGAGGCGTAAACACTCAGAAAGAACAAGGAGAAAGCTAAGCAAAGCTTGACACATGATAGGGAGGAAATCAGGAGCTGAGCCAAAGGAGGAGAATTTGAGGGCAGACTCTGAGGAGGACACTTTCAAAAAGAAGAGGAAGTAAGGGGGTTCAAAGCAGATTCTTCCAGGGGAGACTTAAGGGACCACTTCTGGGTCTCAGTTCCTATCACCCAGCAGACACTGTTGTTGTTGTTGTTGTTAAGTGCTGTCGAGTTGGTGTAGCCACGTACTATGTCCTAGGTGTTGTGCTACACACCTTACGCATACTCGCTTGGAAACCCTCACCACCACTCCATACCTTTGCTTCTGGGGAGGGCAGCAAGGCTCAGAAGTCACAAGCTCTGCTGACTGACATTGGTCCAGGTGTTAACATCAACATCACTTGATGTGGGAAATAAATATGATGTTCTGCCCTGCCTCAGCCCAACCAAAACTAGCCAGGTCACCTCAAAGGAAGCAGTGCCTGCCACCAAGGGATCAGGGGTTAACCAGATTCCAGCTGAGGCTGAGACAGCAAAAGTCGCTGACATATATGTCCCAAGGAATGGATGGAGTTGGGGGCTGAAGGTCAGTGGACCAGCCCAGAGTCTTTTCTCTACCCATGGCTCAGTCTGAGCCCCAGGTCAGATCCTGGACCCATTGCTTAGCTCTTATGTATACTTGGGGACATCTTCCCTGCAGCCCAAACTTTTAACCCTGGCTCCAACCTCCACCCTCTCACCTGATCTTGCCTCCAGCCTGCTCACCTATCTGTTCACCTTTCTGGATTCTGCCTCAGTCCCATTTCTGGCTCTCTCAGAAGCTTCCAAGGAGCTCTGGTAGTGTAGTGGTTACAAGTTGGTCTGCTAACCTCAAGGTCAGTACTTTGAAATTACCAGTCATTCTGTGGAAGAGAGATGAGGCTTTCTGCTTCTGTAAAGATTTACAGCCTTGGAAACCCTATACATGGTTGCTATGAGTTGGAACAAACTCCCGGGCACATAACCACCACCACCACCACTGCCAGAAGTTTCCCTCTCAGCTTCCTCTGCCCAGGGTCAAAGTCTGGCCTTGGGTTATCTTATCCTTCAAAGATAATGGCTGTTTCATGAGGGCATGTAGCCTGAACTTCTGGATCTAGAATGGAAGCCTTGGCCTCTGAGAGCAGGTGTCAGTCAGCAGATTGGGTAATCAAGTTGGTCACTCGGAGGTGTTGGACAGACAGGTCATCAGTCCTATCCAACTTCTTCCTGTGAGTTGAGGCCTCTACTGAAGGGCTGGCAGCAAACAGTCTGACTCTCCTATAGAAGACAGATCTCCCCTTGGAAGGAAGACTCTGACACCAGGGCCTTCTTCTTACATGGAAGGGACACTGAGACCCTTCCTGTTCCTGGAAGCTTTTGTCAGGGCCAGCCCTTGACCGGGTCAGGGGGTGGGGGTCAGCTGTAGGTGTGAACCTGGGCCAAGGATGGCCTGTGAGCTAAGACTGACCCTAGGATAGGAATTCAGAGAGGGCCATGAAGCCCCTATCTCTCCCAGGTGGCTTATCAAGTTAGGGGACCCCAAGTAGGTCAGGTGGTTCTAAGAGCTGAGAGCCCATAACCCAGGAGCTAGCAGGCAGGGGCTCTGTCTGCCTGTCAGCCAGTTACTTGACTGGTTACTCATTCAGACATGCCCATGTACTTCCGTTGATAATTCAGTCATCAGCTGTCTTTCAATGACCTGTCAGGTCCGTAAGCTAGTCAGACAAAGTCTGTCAGTCAGCCAGAAACTTTGCTTACTAGGTAGCTGGTCAGTAAGAGACTGTGTCTGCCAGACAGAGGGTCTAGCTCTCACTATCTGTTATCAGCATTTCGCACACCAGTTGAGCTGGGGGAATGAGGGACAAGGTTTCAGAGACCAGCCTGACAGGGAGCCTTTCTCTGCCCATTCTTTGTCACAAAGGCCCAGGAGGATTCCTGCCCTCTTCAGTCATTCCCCAGCTTCAAACAGCAAATCTCAGGGAGAAGCGGGGCTGAGTACAGGCTTTAGAGTCCTTAGACCTGAGTGTGAATCCCAGCTTTGCCACCAGCCCACGGTAGATTAAACATCCTCTATCTTTTTGCTCCTCCGTTTCCTTAACTGCAAAGTGAGGATAAGAGTATCTTTGTCAAGCAGGTAAGGCATCTAGGACACCTGGCTCAGTGCACAGCACACAGTGGACACCCACAGAGGGCTATTGCCCCCCCTTTTCCTGGAAAGTCTTCAAACACTGTAAGGCAACAAGAACCAACTGAATCCATTCCTTTCCCACACACATCTGGTCCCGCTCCAAGTTTCGGGCTCCATTCTGACATCACCATTCACCTCACTCCCCAGCAGAATTCTTTCTGAATTAGCTGACTCCCTTTTATCCATACTCCAGTTTATCATGAGACAAAACCCTGATTGAGGAGTTGGACCCCTTCTTTCCATGCACCTAGCTTTCTCAGCTGAATACTCCAGTGTTTGAATCCCTCCAATTTCTCACTCACTGTGAGGCCTTGGACCAGCAGTCCTTTTGATTTCACATCTGTACTTCCTAGTGAGGAGAGTGTCCACTGAGAGCCCAAACACTCATCTAGCCTGGGACTGACCACCCAGACCACACCGTACAGCTTTACAATTCCACTTTCATTAGCATTCTTTATTCTTCCTGGGCTCTCCTGGCCAAGCAAGTGGTTTGATTGTTCATTTCTGGAATATCCTGGCTCAGCTCTTAAATGGAAAGTACCAAAGGTTTGCTTTCCCTCAGTCTTTGCATCTCTTCTCTCAAAGTCCAACAATCTTGAGCTCTTACATCATGATTCTTACCCAATCTTAATCTATTTCCTATTTCCCACCCCATTAAAAGACCAACCTTGAACGAAATATCCAAGTCTCAGTAAATTCTGACTTTATCTCCTCTTATCCGAGACTGCCAGAGTGAAGTTGTCTCTTACAGCAGCGAGAATAAACTTTGTCTTTGTCAAAAGGTTAAAACAACAACAACAACAACAAAATGGTTATTGTCAAGTTGATTCTAATAGTAATCCTATAGGATAAGAGTATGTGTGTCTAAGAGTAGGGTTTCTAAGGCTTTAATCTTCATGGGATAAGGAAGACCAAAGAAGAATTGATGCATTTGAATTATGGTGTTGGTGAGGAACATTGAGTGGACCACCAGAAAAATGAACAAATCTGAATTGGAAGAAGTACAACCAAATGCTCCTTAGAAGTGAAGATGGTGGCACTTTTTCTCACACACTTTGGATGAGTTATCAGGAGAAACCAGTCCCTGAAGGACATCATGCTTGATAAAGTGGAGGGTTCAGTGAAAAAAAGGAAGCTCCTCGGTGAGATGGATTGACACAGTGGCTACAACAAATGGTCTCAGCTTAAGACCAGGCAATGTTTCATTCTGTGTACAGGGAGTTGCTATGAGTAGGAATTGACTTGATGGCATCTAATAACAAAAATCTTTATGGAAGCCAACTTTCACATCTTTTTCCCAAGGAGTGAGTGACTGTGGATTTAAAACCACGGATCCTTCTGTTAGCAGACAAGTGCTTAACCACTGAACCACCAGGGCTCCATCCAAAGGTAGTGTTGACAATAGAAAACTTATAAATCTGTCTTCAGCCTGTAACTGATTGGAATACCTCAAAGGGGGCTAGAAGTTACCCAGGGAAAGAGGCTTCCTATGGAGCCTTTGCATTACATAAGACAATAGGTGGAATCCTGAACTCCATCCAGAATCTTCCGAGGTGGGAAATTTCCACCTAAAAGGACAAGTAGGCCAGCCTGGAGTGGCTAGAAGAACAGAAGATATTTCGTGAAAGAAAGATCGACAGGAAAAATAAAAAATAATAATGACAGTCTGATTGACTACTACAAGAACAAGCAAGCAGCTCACCCAGGAGCCATCAAGGCAAGTAGTCGGGTCCCCTCAGAGCAAACCCCCTTCTAAGACTAAGACTCAAGGGAAATACATGAGCAGGTATGTGGTCTGGCTGGTGACCACGTTGATCACTGATAACGGGAAGTGGGGGAAAAACAGCAATGAAGTTGTGAGCTAAGTCCGATCATGTTCAATAGACTCCTGTGAAACCAGATTGAGAACTGTTTGGCCAGCAGTATGGCAAGACCTGGGGGCTCCTGGGCCCAGAGGCAGTGACAAAGCCACAGAGGACTAGAGTGGAGAGTGAAGGGTCCAGCTGACATGAAGTGAGGGGGAGATGCACAAGAACACCCATACTTGCAGATAGTACCCACTTGACCTGGCTTCAATGGCTGGATGATCAGAACTCTACTAGAAGAAGAAAGAAGAGGAAAAAAAGAGTAAGCTACTACAATTTGATGAACTTTACCTATACTTATGGATGTAGTAGCTCAACAAAGGGAACAAATCTTTACAACAAGGATCACTCCCACCCCCTCGGTACACAGGGTTAACAGGGATAGGCAACTTAGATATTGGCTACCCAAAATAGGGGGGCTACAAAGGCAAGAAGTGACTAGCTTACAAGCTTTCAGGAGGGAACCTAGATCCAGAGGGGGCAGAGGAAGGTAGAATCTCCACTGAGTGGTTTCCAATCTGTTGGGATGGGGCTGATTAAAGGAGATGGGGATAACACTCTTGTGGTACAATAGTGAATATTTGTTATCAGGATTGACTGTGAGGGTCAAAAGTGTAGAGGTAGAAGTTTTGTAACAAAAGGAGAGGAGTGGTTGACTTTATAGTCCAGGAGTGGAGGTCCCTGGGACCATCAAGTGAGAAGAGCGGAGTGCGGGACCCTACCCAGAGAAGTAGTAATGCCAGAAATGGAGGCAGAGATGATGATGTGGAGATGGAGCGACTGGGGGCTCTGGACTCAGCGAAAGAGAGGGGCTGTGTGCTGATGGCCAGTGGGCAGGCTTGCAGGGTGTACGCTTTGGTTGTTTGATGATGCATGGAGGGGATTGTAATCATTGCAATGAAATGAAATACGATAGGATGATTGTAATGCTGGTGTTCTCCCATGTAAACTATCACATAATTCACAATAAAAACTTTAAAAAGAAAAGAAAATGTAGTGTTTGGTAATATTTGTGGAGCTGGCATTGCATAATGGGTTCTCAGGTAATGTTTCTTTTCCTGTCAGGCAGCCAGCCTTTCTGTGACCGGAATGTTCCCTTGCCATGAGCACTCCCTTGCTTCCACACTTGTTTTGTGGTTACAAGCATTGCCACATCTAGAAGCAGAGAGTCAATCAAAAATTCAACAGGAGAGGGCTGGGGGAATGGGAG